GATAACCACGCCCCGGGCCAGCTGGTGCAGTCTCTGGTCTTTGTTGTCGTCGTGAAGGGAGAAAAGTCTTCTCCCCCTCTAGTCTCACCTTTTGTGAACTTCCGGATGTCACAGTGCGAGAAGCTCTTACCCTAATGAGTTAGGATAGCGTGTAAAATTGAAGAATCCTATAGTCCTGCCCCAGAATAAAGAAAGAAAAACAACTTTTTTTTTTCTGATTATAAAAAGTATACAATCTCAGTATTTGTAGAAATAAATCCAAGCACTGTTAAGTACATATTTAAAAAGGAAGAAAATACTCGAGACTCCATCAGCCACAGATCAAAAAAAAAAAAAGTGTTGATATTTGGGTTTACTTAAGATGTATTCATTATGAGTATATATTTACATTGGTAAATGTATTTGTTTTTATATAATTGTGTATTTTGAATATAACAAAGTATATTCATTTAAAAAGCAGATTATGCCTTATTTAGTCCCTAATAGTTTAGGAATAAGTGATTTGATCCATGCCAAATGTAGATATGCATTATCATTTTTAAAAAATCTTTATTTGGCTGCGCCTGGTCTTAGTTGTGGCATGCGGGATCTTCATTGTGGCATGCGAACTCTTAGTTGTGGCCTCTGGGATCTAGTTACCCGACCAGGGCAGGAACCCAGGCCCCCTGCATTGGGTGTGCAGAGTCTTAGCCACTGAACCACCAGGGAAGTCCCTGCATTATCATTTTTAATGGGTGCATGGTATTTCTTGCTATGGCTCTACTATACCACGTATTATTTAACCTATCCCCTAATGATGGACATTTGTTTTTCCAATTTCTTCATCAACAGAAAATAGCATGGTAGTGGTTACTTGTACATGTACATGTTTGCGTTCTTGTCCAGTTTATCTCCTTAGAATAATTTCCTGGAAACGTTTTGTGGCTTAGAAATTATGGTACATTTTAAATTCTGATTCATAATGCCAAAGTGCCCTCTAGAAAAACTGTCATCTCCCCTCCTCACCCTCCCCCAACACATAGTACACAGTGTAAGAGTACTTATTTCTCCACACTCCAGCCAGCACTGGGTACTGAAAAGTCTTACCAACCTAGAAGCATAGCTTAATGTTTTTATTTGCATTATTAATGAGGTGAAACATCTTTTTCTATGTTTATTAGTCATTATTTCTTCAGTAAATCACCTGTCTTTTCCCTATTCTGCTGGTGTTTGTACCTTTTAATAGCTTTCTAATAGGAATTTGAATTAGTGATTTTGAACCTGTTACAGTATTTCCACTAGTTGGTTGTCTCTTTGGATTATGGTTGTCTTTTTTAGGGTGTTTTGTTTTCTTTTGTTCTAATACTTTTGTTCTTGAAGCTGCATGCTTTCCTTCCAAGAGGTAGAGAAATTTGTTCTAAATCTGCAATAGCCTCCCAGCAAAGTTTAGAATCTAACTAGTGATCCAGCCCTGCTATTCCAATTTAAAATCCTTCCCTTCCACCCTCAAAATCCTTTCACTTGCAACTAGGTAAACATGGGACACTGAATTGCTTAAGATTTTGACCAGAAGGTACTGTTGGGTATTTTGGTCAATATCATCTATATTTATCTACAAAATACAAGCTGTGCTAGCTTCTATGTGAAAGTTTCCCCCTAAGTAAGGAGAAAGGATTATCAGGTCTTCATATTAAAAAGAGAAAAAACTGACAGCTACTTGTGGACCTTATTAAATTTTATATTTTATTATTTGCAAGCACCTATCTTCTTAATACATTCGAGAAAGAAAAAGTGTGCAATAATTTAACTGCAAAGAAAACATGTTAATCATAGTATAGTATACTACACATGCCATAAAAAAAAAATCTCTTTGGGCCTTAGTATTGGAATTCTTCCAGCCCATTCCAGCCCAGAGTCCTGTTCCATTTCTGTCCCTACTTTCCTCTGTTCTGTGTTTATCTTTTTAGTAGGTAGTTTTGTATTGCATGAACATTGAAATGAATGGTGTAATACTTCTCACAAAGCACCATTTAATTAATATATATAATATATATACTTATATATTACATGTTATATATATTACATATGTAATATATATTAAAACATATATATATATATATATATATATATATAATCTCACTTAAACTTCACAACCTGTTGAAATAATTCCTTCCATTTTTCCAGTGAAGAAAGAAAAAGCTAAGCCCTACTTTACTCCTCACATTCATTTAGTCCTTACCATTGGTCTGACTCTGGAATTTATACAACATATTATACAATACAGATAAATGAAGTAATTCTTCAAAGTTACATTTTGGGACTTCTGATTTGCTTCATCTATGATGATTGTCCTGAGTTTTTCTGTGGTAATTACCAAAAGTAATGTCATTAGATCCTTATTCTTCTAGATTTGATAATATAACCTAGTTAACCTTGAAAGGATTTCATTTAAGATCAAAGACCCTGGACTTCCCTGGTGGCGCAGTGGTTAAGGACATGGGTTCGATCCCTGGTCAAGGAAGATCCCGCATGCCGCGGAGCAGCTAAACCCGTGTGCCACAACTACTGAGCCTGCGAGCCACAGCTACTGAGCCCGCGCACCTAGGGCCCGTGCTCCGCAACAAGAGAAGCCACCACAGTAAGAAGCACACGCACTGCAACGAAGAGTAGACCCCACTTGCTGCAGCTAGAGAAAGCCTGCATGCAGCAACGAAGACCTGATGCGGCCAAAAATAAATTAATTAAAAAAAAAGATCAAAGACCCTGATCCTCTCTTTTACTTCTATAGAATCTGCTAAGCATGGCTTTTTTTTTTTTTTTTTTTTTTTTTTTGGGGTAC